ATAAGTGCATAATAGAAGGCATCAGGACATAGAAATAAATATTGGTAAGATGACAGTTTGGCCTAGTCCTTTGTTTTTTATTTTATGAAAGTAGCTCAGTTGAACATACATTTACGATATCATTATTGCAGCATTAAGTACAATTGTAGCTCCAGCTGCAAACAGAGAAATAAGGAATCTGTCATTGCTGACCTTCTTTAAGAGACCTCGGGCCAGTTGCCCCCCCTAGGTTATTCCTTGCCTCCCCTCCCATGTACCCCCTACCTTTCTAAATTAGCAGTGATGAGGGTTTCTGAGAGCCCCAGGGAGGAGGACGGGCAGAGGAAAAGGAAGAGCTGGGCGGCCTACAACTTGGCTATAGTGAGGTGCCAGGAGTTACTGAGGAGGGTGGTGAAGGTAGGGCTGCCACCTGTATGGGATCGACCCAGACAGTCCAGGTTTTGACACTTATTCCTGGGTTTCTGTTCACCTGAAATCCGGACACAACATCAGTCCCAGCCTGTCAGATAAATCTGGGACACAGTCAGCCAGTGTGGGAACTCAGTGGTGGTATCGTCAAACCCATTTATGATTCCTGTCGGCTGTGCCTGCCTGTTTGCTCTCTCCTTTTTTCCCCTGTGGCAGCTTCAAAGCTGCCCCCCCCCCCCCCTTGCACTGCACCTCACCTTACATCTCCTCTCCTCAGTGATCTCCCTTGCACTTTGAAGTCATTGGTTACTAGGACCATCCATTGTCCTAGCAACCAATGACGCTTTAGCCACTGTACATCCAAATGGAAGAACTTCCTGCGCTAGAAATGGGGCCCTATTCACCAAGCTGCTGACACAAAACTCCTTACCAACCAAAGTGAATAAATATACATATAAAGTGCAGCACTATTTCTAAATAAACTAAATACATACAAGTATAAATATAAAGTGCAAAATGACTATTTAAAGTGCTCTAAATAATACCACAAGGTACTAAATTAATGTGCAAAAATTGTGCATATGCAAAAATTGTGCAACCCGTGTATTCCAATTCATAAGAATAAAGTGCAATTAGTGACAATCATAATCACTGCAACCTTCTATTAACATAATAATAGGTCCACAAAAAAATTTAAATTAAAATGTCCAAATGCAACAGAAAAACTTTCAATCTTCATGCATGTGTCACACATGTCCACACTGTGTGAATCCAAACTTTAGCCGTGATGGCCCCTCACCTCCTTGCCACAACCCCACAGGGTCAGCTCGCTTTAAAACAGGACACCACTTTGGTAGCTCACCAGGGCCTCCCTCGCCTCTTATAGTCTATCAGCAGTCTCCTCCTCGGTTCATATACAAACACAAAAGAGACTCACATAGTGTAATCCTGTTTATTTTGTAAAATAGATATGGAAAAGATTGCCCACTCACATTTAAATCCGTCTCCTCACAAGCCTTCAATACCCCATGCTATAAATCTCCTGCATGGGTATTTAGATACAGGGATGGTTAACCCTGAGGAAGTCACGTGTTACCGTGACGCAACGCGTCAGAACGCGAGGAGGATTCTGGGAGCGCGGTGACGTCATTTCTGGCGTGGCGGCCATATTTGAAATTCCTGTATCTAAATACCCATGCAGGAGATTTATAGCATGGGGTATTGAAGGCTTGTGAGGAGATGGATTTAAATGTGAGTGGGCAATCTTTTCCATATCTATTTTACAAAATAAACAGGATTACACTATGTGAGTCTCTTTTGTGTTTGTATATGAACCGAGGAGGAGACTGCTGATAGAGTATAAGAGGCGAGGGAGGCCCTGGTGAGCTACCAAAGTGGTGTCCTGTTTTAAAGCGAGCTGACCCTGTGGGGTCGTGGCAAGGAGGTGAGGGGCCATCACGGCTAAAGTTTGGATTCACACAGTGTGGACACGTGTGACACATGCATGAAGATTGAAAGTTTTTCTGTTGCATTTGGACATTTTAATTTAAATTTTTTTGTGGACCTTTTATTATGTTAATAGAAGGTTGCAGTGATTATGATTGTCACTAATTGCACTTTATTCTTATGAATTGGAATACACGGGTTGCACAATTTTTGCACATTAATTTAGTACCTTGTGGTATTATTTAGAGCACTTTAAATAGTCATTTTGCACTTTATATTTATACTTGTATGTATTTAGTTTATTTAGAGATAGCGCTGCACTTTATATGTATATTTAGCCACTGTACACACATGGGATTTTCTGCCCTAGATCTGCTCCACCTCCCAGCTCTGCCCCCTTACTCCAACTTCCACGCATTGCTCTCTCGCTTGCAGCACCTCCACCAGAAAAACAACGCCCCTCCTGCAGGTAAGGCATTTTTCAGAGGCAGTCTAAAAGACGTCGTAGAGGGCAGGGGGTGGTGACCAACCATTAGATCAGCTGTCAGCAACCCCGTACAGACCCCCATCAGAATTCCTGTATATTAGCACTACCCCTTAGAGACCCCCCCCCCCCATTAGATCAGAGTCCCCTTATTGATTAAAGGAAGTGAGCGACCATTGAGTGGCTAATGGTCACCCCAAATAGAATGGTGCCACATTTTAAGTTCAAGGATTAAAATCTAAATACAGCAATTATGGGCTTTATAGGCACATAAACTCAGTACCACAATATATAAAACCATGTATTTCTTTATTCATATAGTTTATTTAAAATATATCAATGACTTAATAATATACATTGCTCTTTGCTCAGACTTCAGTGTCTTCCCCCCAAAAATTGAGTTCCAAGTTTCTGATATGGACCCTAGATGGGAATTAAATGGTCCACTTCCTTCAAATATGGAGGGTTCCACTGTTACATTTGGCCCAACATATTTTGTGATATGGGTTGCTTCTTCAGGGGTTTCCAATGCTTCTACGGAGTAAACAAACTTACAAATAATACTAAAAAAGGTAACAATGGCATAAATTCGTTAGAAAGCTACCAATGGGGCACTTACATGAGTATGTGGGGTATAAATGTGATGATGAAGAAGACTCGTAAAAAGGACTCATATAGTGGCAGGTGAGATAGTCCACGGCCAGGCAATCCCAAGATAGGTTTGGGGATGCAAAGCAAGCAGCTGGAAAGGAGAGGAGGCCACCATATAAATGATCCCCTTATATCAGTGACCCCTACCTTTGAGACCAACGGTTGGTCTCTAAAGGGGGGGGGGGGATTTGCTTATTTAAAGTGGAACTTTACACATAACTTGATAAAAAATAATGTTCTTTAGCAAGGAGCATACATTCCAGATTAATAATTATGCTACCAAAATGAGTATGTGTTGTAAATTGCTTCCAGCATTGTTCCTGTTTTTTCTTGCTGAAGGCTGCCATTTTGCTGAAGCCCAGAGCCCCTGAACAGCAGTAAATCATAAAGGGTACTAAATCTAACAATTTAACAGTTTAAAAAAAAACAGTTACATTCCTGGAATGGCGGGATTGCCAACTGTCACATTTGCTTGTGTCCGCAACCAAACTGTCAAACCAGCAAATGGCTGGAGTCATAACTGATCACATGTGCATCACCATGGCAGTTGCAGATCAAACAGAAGAAGCTTCCTTGGCTGTAAAGGATAGGAGAGTTTAATTCAACTTTAAAGGCTGTCAACAGATCGGCCTCTACAAATTCCGCAGTGCCTAAAAAGTGGAGAGCAACTGAGCATGTGCAGAGCAGGGTGAGGCCGTGTATTACTGGATTTTAAACAGTACAGGCTCTTATTTGTAATGTTTTATATCGCTATATCTGAAAAAGGGGCCAGCTTGAACTGATCTAGCAGGACTTAATTTTCTGTCTAAATTTATCTGATGTAAAAAGAAAACTGTCATGGGTTCCCACACCTCAAAAAACTAGACATTTAAAAAATTTAAAAATGCAGTGCAACTTCCACCTCATACTTTTACTGACTGCTTCCTGCCCGCCACAGTACATTTACTGTGGGTGGCTGGCACGAGCAGGCTGGGTAACATACATGTACGCCATGCATCCTGTTCTGGGTTAGGAGCGCACATGTTCACGCTCCCTGCTGACACTGGCTGCAGCAGGATTTTGGCAGCATGTCCCTCCAATGATTTATGGCTGATTGAAGCCAACCACAGCACAGAGTCCTGTGTTTACAAATACACAAGGTTCTGTACACAGATCAGTGATCTGGCTGTTTCTTCTCTCCACAAAGCAGGGAGAAAAAGCAGCCAGATCTGTCAGTAAAAGCAGCACATATTACACTTGTTAGGCACACAGTTAACCCCTTGATTGCTCCTAGATGTTAACCCCTTCCCAGCCAGTGTTATTAGTACAATGACAGTGTATAGTATTATATCTGACCACTGTATTTGTGTCACTAGTAATGTCAGTGTCAGTTTGTTAGTGTACCTCCCAGCAAGGATCTGTTAGCACCAGATTGCCTGCCACACTATTGCAGTCACATTATAAGTCACTGATCACCAACATTACCAGTATAGCATCTATAGCTGCATATATATATATATATATATATATATATATATATATATATATATATATACACACACACACACACACCATAGTTTGTAGACGATACAGCTTTCTCACAAACTAATTAATATATACGCTCTTTGAGATTTTTTTCACCAAAGACATGTACAGTGCCTTGAAAGAGTATTCATACCCCTTGAAATTTTCCACATTTTGTCATGTTGCAACCAAAAACGTAAATGTAATTTATGTGGTAGACCATCACAAAGTGGCACATAATTGTGAAGTGGAAGGAAAATGATAAATGATTTTCAACATTTTTTTTTACAAATTTAACATGCTGATGGGGAGGGTGAAAAGTTTTGTGGCTCATGTTCCCCCTTGCTTTACAGAACATTTAGCTAACAGCATACACAGGAGGAGCAGGACTCAACCACCTGGACTGTCAGAACTGGACTAATGGTGCTTAGGCTGGAGGTACATCACTCTCCATAGATCATCTCCCCAGCATAAAAAGACCGGCTACTCGGTACCATCCAAAAAATTAAAAAGCTTTATTGGCTACATGGTAAGATCCAGTGGAAGGACAGTATTACACATTTCGGCTAGAAAACCATAACACCAGGGGCGGACTGACCATTTGAGCTCTCGGGCACTGCCCGAGGGCCCGGGGTCAGTAGGGGGCCCCATGAGATGCCCCTGGTACCTTTCATTGGCTTTTTCATAGGCTTTTTTGGGTGTGGGCGAGGACACAGGGGCCCCAGGATCCCCTATTGCCCAGGGGCCCCATGAGTTGTCAGTCTGCCCCTGCATAACACCATATTCAGCTAAAAACACTTTAAGGGTTTGTTCACACATGTGGCCAGAAGGATGGGGTAAAACCAAACAGTTTTACCTCCTGCCCAAATGCTGACATGCAGCCGCTCACAGCTGTAAACATGTAGCAGCCATAATGCTGTGCTGTCTGGCTATGGCAAAACGGTAAACACATCAAGTGAAAGTCTATGGGACTGTGCTGCAACCACTTGCAATGCACATAATTTCGGTGCGGTAGTGCTGCATTTAAAGGATTAAATCAGGCAATGAGGAGGCAACATATTGCCTCCTCACTGCCTTTCAAATGCCCTCTGAAAAGAAATCCAACACAGTTTTCTCTTTCAGAAGGCACTGCACATCTGAATGAGCCCTAAGGCAGAGCAGAGTATGGAAGTTCAACTATCCCAGGAAGTCCCAGGAAGTCAAAGCGAATCATGTTTAATATAACAATCTTCTCTCGCCATGGATGAAGAGGAAGAGAAATGTAAAATATTTATATTTAGAAGGACTTTAGCTATTGACAATCATGTGTATCTATACTTTGACATCTGTACCCAACTATCTCATTTATAGTGCAGAATTATCATGACATTCCATCAACATTCTTGTGAAAGCAAGTTATGTAAGATAGAAAATAACAAGGCAGTGCATACAGGCCTGTATATGGGGGATGGACATGTACTGGTAGAAGCAGTGCCACCTTAAAGGGGTAGTAAAAAAAAAAAAAGTGTTTCCCCTGTAAGGCAGTGTAAGGGTTCATGTACACTGCAGCTGCTAAACTGACGTTCAGGAGCTATTCAGTGTTTTTTTCAGCAGCCCCTGAACTCTCCCTAATGTTTTCCTATGTGTCTATGTACACATTGTCGTTTACAGGCAGTGGAGTTTACAGCAGGGTCGGACTGACAACTCATGGGGCCCCCAGGCAATAGGGGATAATGGGGCCCCTGTGTTCTTGCCCACACTCAAAGCACATCCAAAAAAAAGCCTATAAAAAGGTACCAGGGGCATTTCATGGGGCCCCCTACTGACCCCGGGACCTCGGGCAGTGCCCGAGTGCTCGAATGGTCAGTCCGCCCCTGGTTTACAGTTGTTTTTTTTGAATGCACCAAACTTGCGTTCAGGAGTAGATTTTACCGGCATTTCATACGCTTGTAAATGCGTGCAAACGCGGTTAACCGCGTTTATAAGTGTTTGCGTTCAGAAGCGTTTTTTAACTGTTCCATATCCAGATGCTGTCCGGAGCCTTTTTTCATTATCAGAAATGCATGCAAAGCATTTTCTATGTATTCAATGGACCTGGTACACCAGCGCAGTCAGTTCCAGGTTTTGCATGCAGGAAAAATGGTAGAACGTGCTGCAATATGTTCATGATGGCATCCATAGTGAATACAACCAGAAAAGACAGGTCATCTCAACACATACTGCTCTCTCTGCTTCTGCTCTCTCTATTCCTCTCAAAATGTCTGAAATAGTAGTTTATTTTTTACTATTTTTCAGTGCATTCTGGGCATTTGGGAAGGTCTCCTGAGGTTATCTTTTAAAACCGCTTCTAAATGCAAACGCGCATAAACGTGGTATGCAAACGCGGCTAAACAGACGTTTTTAGCCTACGTTTTCCAGCAGTCAGTTTCCATCGTTCAGAAGAGTTTTCCAAACCCTTATAATGTGCTAATATGCATTGCACACTAGCCATGGCACAGGATGGCATGCCGTCCATTGACTGTACAGTGCGCATGCGCCAGGGACATCATTTTCTGCTACACAGATAAATATCTCGTAAACGGATATTTATAATACCTACAGGTAAGCCTTATTCCCTGCCAACACCTGGCGATCACCGAGCATCACTGACGGGGGGGGGGGAGAGGTCTGTATGTAAACAACACAGATCTCTCTCTTATCAGCTCCTGCACACTGCTTTGTATGGCTCTACACTATTTTGTGTATCTATTATGTATCACGTTTTAGTGGTTTATACCCCATGGTATATATACTGCCGGGTTCCGGGTAGTCCGTGGCCTCGGCTGTCAATCATCGGGTCCCAGCCGATGATTCCCCGCCGGCACCCGCTGATCGATGAGTATTACCGACGGGGGAGAGACTTGTGTATAAACAACACAGATCTCTCCCCTGTCAGCTCCTGCACACTGCTTTGTATGGATCTGCATAGTAGAGCCATACAAAGCAGTGTGCTTACAGTGTAAAGCACATACATAAGCACACAGTTAACCCTTTGATCGCCCCACATGTTAACCCCTGCTTGCCATTGTACAGCGTCAGTGCTTTTTATTAGCACTGATCACTGTATTGATGTCAATGGGGATGTCAGTAACACCAAGTCAGTTCTCCCCATTGTCAGAATGCCTGCCGCAGCCACGGTATAAGTCGCTGATCGCTGCCATTACTAGTGAAAAAAAAAACACCGCCATTTGTAGACGCTAACTAGACGCTATAACTTTCACGTAAACCAATTCATTTACACATATTGGGATTTTTTAGCAGAGACATGTCGCAGAATACATTTTGGCCTCAATTTATGATGAAATTTGATTTTTTTTTTTTTTACTGGACATGTTTAATAGCAAAAAGTCATATATATATATATATATATTATAGTGCAACAAAATAAACAAGGCAGAGGCGATCAAATGCCACCGGAAGAAAACTCCATTTGTGGGGAAAAAAAGGCCGTAAATTTCATTTGCGTGCAGCATTACATGACAGCGCAATTGTCAGTTAACGTAACGCCGCGCCGTATCGCAAAAAATGGTCTGGTCAGGAAGGGGGGTAAATCTTTTGGGGGGCAAGTGGTTAACATGGCAGCGTCGGGACCCCACGACCTGCAAAGAACCATCTTGGGTGAGGACGACGCTGGATTCCTGGACAGGTAAGTGTTCTTATAATAAAAGTCAGCAGCTACAGGATTTAACTTGTCATTTTTGAAAGAACTTCTTGAATACAAGTAGTGCTGTGAATGGACAGTGTGTACTCTCTAAATAAATGAGGAAATACCACAGGAGAGATGTTCCTATAGAAATGTCCTGTGACCAGGGACTGCTGATGTGGAACATGTGAGGTAAACATTGGGGTGCAGTGACTTCCTATGCCATGACTAGGATTCTATTGCTGCTTATGGAGGAGCCCTGAGCGCTCCTGAGGTGATGTACACACGGAGGGCAATGGCCGCCTCTCTCTCCCCGGTATCATCTTACCTGTCCGCCCTGCCCCGCCCCCTCTGACTCACTTCCCCCTCCACCCAGGTGAGGTTCCTCCGACGTTCCCGGCAGTGCGGTGTCCCCAGGTGAGCTCTTCTCCCCGGGCCCCGGACCTGTGACCCCCCCGCCAGTCCAGCAGTGATAGCGGTATGTGCGGTCCTGCCGCGTAGGAGGACATATCTGAGCCGCCCTCGTTCTGGCTGTAACCCGGGAGGACTGCTGGGACTTGTAGTTCCACAAGCGCTGGAGAAGGTATGTCATTTGTTCTGCCTATTGATGGTTCTGATTGGAGAGATCTGGAAATACCTGGTGTTAGTTAACCCCTTGCCCTTCTGAGGATTTACCCCCCCTTCCTGACCAGGCCATTTTTTGCCTTATGGCGCTGCGTTACTTTGACAATTGCGCGGTCATGCAATGCTGCACCCAAATGAAATTTACGTCTGTTTTCCCTCACAAATAGAGCTTTCTTTCAGTGATATTTGATTGCTTGTGCATTTTTTATTTTTTGCGCAAAAAAAAAAAAAATATTGACAATTTTGAGAAAGAAACAATATTTTTGACTTTTTGCTATAAAATATGTCCAGTAAAAAAATTAAAAAATCTAATTTCGTCATAAATTTAGGTCAAAATGTATTCTGCGACATGCCTTTGCTAAAAAACAAAATCCCAATACATGTAAATTAATTGGTTTATGTGAAAGTTCTAGTGTCTACAAATGGCGGTATAGATACTGGATTTTTTTATATACTAGTAATGGTGGTGATCAGCGACTTATAGCGGGACTGCGGCGGGCATCCTGACACTGGGGGGGGGGGGAACTGTCACTGACATCCCCAGTGACACTAATACAGTGATCAGTGCTAATGACACTGGGCAGGAAGGGGTTAACATCTGGGGCAATCAAAGGGTTAACTGTGTGGTGTTTTACAGTGTTGTCTGTGTGTGCTTTATGCTGTAATCATGCTACGCAGAGCCATACAAAGCAGTGTGCTGGAGCTGACGGGAGAGATCTATATTGTTTACGTACAGGCCTCTCCCTCATCAATGATACTCGGTGATCGCCAGCAGGGAATCTCTGGCCGGGACCCAGTGATCAACAGCTGGGGCCGCCAATGGCAGCTCAGATAGGGCGCCCCCTACCCCGAAATGCAAAATCATGTGTCTGTGTGTATGTATGTATGTGTGTATGTATGTATGTGTGTATATGTGTATATATATATATATATATATATAGTGTGATTTTGCACAGCCCTGCCACCCTGTTGCAGTATTCTTACCTGGCTTTAGTAGGACATACACCCACCTAGTGAATCCAGCACTGTACAGCTGCACCTCTTCAAAAGCTGTGCCAGGTCCTGTTCAGCCATCTCATTGGTGACATCATCAGCTGTATTCCAGGTAGTGTGTTGTACATGGTCTGTACCCTCCTGGGGTGTGTAGCATGTCTTCAGGTGGGGGAAAGCGGGATTTCATCAGTTTTCACCATCACATGCACATAGTGCATATTCCCTGAATGCAGGTAAATGTCAGTGCATGGAAGAATCTGTGTCTAAAGAAGTCCAGTCATTCACTTGCATGACAGGTTTATTTACAGCCTCTTGCCACCCGTGTGCAAGAAGCCAAAAATCGAAGCAGTGTAATTTCTTGAATGTGACTTTGTGCCATCCTTTTGTGGTCCCTGTACAGCAGAGCTTAGACTGGGGGAGGGAGAAACCGCACAAGCAGTCTATCAGTTGTGCTGCAGTGCTCAGGTGCAACAAGGAGCATACTGATAGGAGGAGAGAGAAGTGGCAGAGAGATGAGCTCAACAGTCTGCTGCTTCTTCTTGCATTGTCACAGGGGGGGGAGGGAAAAGACTTGTAAGAAAAATCTGTAAGGGACAGTTCACACCACAAAACGCCCTCCAGATGTGTTCTGGATGCTTTTTTGCTTACGGTTCACGCCACACTCCATTCTGCTGCAGTTTTGGTGCTTTTTGCCATGTACAGTTCTGTGCAGAAAAAAAATGCAGCTTATGCTACTTTTTTTTTTTTTTTTTCTGCACTGGAACTGACTGCACTGGTGTGAACCAGGGCCATTAGAATACATGGAAAATGCTGTGCATACATTTTTGATGCAGAAAAAACAAAACGCACAGGAATGCATCTGGTGTAAACCAGGACTGGATGAACAGAAATACATCTTTTGGCAGTGCTAATATAGGGGTTTTACATGTGTGTTTGGCTTTTTCTCTGGAGTTCAGCTTTAAGTCACAATATTTTATTTCCTTTGTAAATGTACAAATATGTAGTAGAATATGAGAAATATTACAGCTTTTATTTGTCATACATATCTGTGTAAATGATACATTGTTATTATTCATTGATACAAAGTAGAGATGTGGGAACGTAGGAAAGGCTGTCCTCCTAAAAGGGGAAGTTCTGCTTTAAACCCTTCTCCAATACTTGGCATGCCATTTTGGGGGGTATCTAGTTTTGACAGGTACCTGCTCCCACTTTCACTCAGATCACCCCCCCCCCCCCCCCCCCCCCCCCCCATGCAGTCTTTTGGGACACGTCGCAGGCCCCAGAAGACTGTGGGACCATTCCCAAAGCACAGAGTGGCTCGCACATGCACAGTGGGCAGCCAGGTGTGAAGCCGAAAGCTGGCTGCAGTATAGCTGGCTGCCCATAGTAAGGATGCCGGCACCGGGAACCCGAAAGATATTGAAGAACTAGCCCAGGTGAAGACAGCGCTGGACCCCTGGACAGGTAAGTGTCCTTTTAATAAAAAGCAGCTACAGGATTTGCTGACATTTTGTTTTCCCCAGAGTGAACAACCACTTTAAAGTGTAACTATAGGCAAAACGTTTTTTAAATTTTTTTTTATTTTAGTTAGAGTAAAGAAGGGTTATAAACCCTGTCATTTTTTTGCCATCTGTGTCCCATTTGGAAGGTTTCCCTTCACTTCCTGTCCTATAGCCAAAGCAGGAAGTGAGAAGAAATCCCTCCACAGTGAGGGAATCTGATGGTATCACCAGAACGAGTATCCCTGCTTTTCTTTTACTTTCACTTTTGGTGATGAAGGTAAACAAGACAACTAGAGAGAGTGAATCTCCCCTAATGGGGATACAGACAGCAATAAAAACCTGACAGGGGTTCTAATCTCTCTCCATTCTACTCAAAACTTAAAAACAAAAGTTTTTCTTTAGTCACACTAACCACTTGCCCTCCAGAGGATTTACCCCCCCCCCCCCCCCCCCTCCTGACCAGGCCATTGTTTGCGATATGGCGCTGCATTACTTTAACTGACAATTGAGTGGTCATGCAACACTGTACATATTTTATATCTTTTTTCCCTCACAAATAGAGCTTTCTTTCGGTGGTATTTGATCACCTTTTTATTTTTGGATTTTTATTTTTGGTGCTTTAAACAAAAAAGACAGACAATTTTGAAAAAAAAATATATATTTTTCACTTTTTGCTAAAAAGCATATCCAGTAAAAATTTTAAATAAATCAAGTTTCTTCATAAATTTATTCTGCTACATGACTTTGCTAAAAAAAAAAATCCCAATGCATGTAAATTAATTGGTTTACATGAAAGTTATAGTGTCTACAAACGGCGGTATATATACTGGGATTTAAATTTTTTTATTTTTTTTTTATACTAGTACTAGCGGCGATCAGCGATTTATAACAGGACTGTGGCGAGCATTCTGACACTGGGGGGGACTGGCTAACTGTCACTGACATCCCAATGACACTAATACAGTGATCAGTGCTAATAAAAAGCACTGACAGTGTGCTAATAACACTGGACATCTGGGACATCTTGGGGGATCAAAGGGTTAACTGTGGGCTGTGCTGTGTTTTATATCATATGCTGTGTGTGTTTTACGAAGGAAACATGCTGCTGTGTATTTCTTATGCTTGCTGGCAGGAGGGAGTTCTGTGTTGTTTACATACAGGTCTCTCCCCCGTCAGTGTTGCTTGGCGATTGCCAGGTGATGGTGGGGAATCTCTGGCCGGGAGCCAGTGATTGACAAGCCTAGCTGCCAATGGCGGCGTGGGAAGGGCAGTGCAACCCTCTACCCAGAAATCACGTATGTGTGTGCGTGTGTGTGTGTATGTATATATATATAATGATTTTGCACAGCCCTGCCGCCCTGTAGCAGTAGTTCTACTTTAGGGCAGCGGGGAAGCGGTTAAGGTAGAACTAAAGGCAAACTTTTCTTTTTCAGTTTTGATAGAGTAAATCTGGGTATACAAGCATTGAAATATCTGGTTCCTGCTGAATTTTGGTCTATGTGTACTCCTTTCTGGTCATCTGCAGTGCAGCACTGATCAGTGTATTCTGATGGGGGGGTCGGACACCTCTACTGTCAGCATACAATAGCACAATGGGGGAGATCTGTGCATCCATATCACTTGTGTGGATGCAGGACTATCGATTTCTGTCAGGACACTGTTCTTTTATGTCAAGAACAGTCCTATATTATTTTCCCTCATTTATTTCATTGTTTCATCCTGGACACCCTGCAGCTAAAGGTGTTCTTCATTTCAGAATTGATATTGGCTTCTATTGCTGGTTGTATATGTCACCTGCAATTTCCTGGGTGAGGAAAATCACTGTGATTTTTATGCTAGTTTTTTTTTTTTTTTTTTTTATAGCCTCAAACCATCAATGTGCGTGAGATCTTAAACACAACAGAAAGTGAGAGGTAATCTCTACAAAGTGAAGGTGAATGCCCACTCAGTTGTGTACTCCCTATTGTTCCTATTTCCCCTGTGACAGCTGTAATGGTTTGGCTTTCTCAAAAGCTTTATCGCTTTGTCAGTGGTCACCAAGGTAGACAGAGATGTAGTATTTCCATTGAACACAGCCTGCAATCTAGAACTAAAGGAACAAAGTTTTGCTACACAATTACTTGCATCCCCGGGTGGGGGTGTATTCTGTATTCAGAGGGTCTGTGTGCAAGGTCCTACATTAGGCCCCTGTGATCTTTCAATAAAGGGAGAACAATGCCACACTCCACTCACCTTACATTTCTTTAATAACCCCCATACAAAAAAAAATATTTTCATTAATAAATGTGGTGGTGGTGGGGGGACTTGCAGGGGCATACTATAGTCTAAAGGACACATACCACATTTAGCAACAATCATATATGCTTCTCAGCCTACCTTAATGCACCTATTGTTTCCTAAAATGGAAAATATGTTATATTTACCTGCTGTGTTCAGTGCTTTTGCACAGGGCGGGCCCAAACCTCACCTTCTGGAGTCCCTAACTGGTGCTCTCTGCTTCTCCTCTTCTCCTAATGCCCCCATAGCAAGCCCTTTACACTTGTGCAGACTTGCTCCCGAGCCAGGCTGTGTGTGTCTATAGATGCACACAGCTCAGCTCCGCCCTGCCCACTCCCTCCTCACAGGGTTTGATGTACTGCAGCAAGACCTGCTACTCTCAGCAAAGCCTGTGAGACCAGGAAAAGGGGAGGAGAGCTGCTGCAGACAGGACTGAGCTGGATTGAGAATGGACTCAGGTTAGTGTTTAGGGAAGGGGGTGCTGAGGGAGCTGCCCTTGAGAGGGTTTTGTTTGTTTTTTTTCTTTTACCCTATTGTAGAAAATGCATTAAGGTGAAAAACCTTTTGCCTTTAGAACCACAGTAGTCAGTGACTAACTGTTGAGGCCATAAACACTTTGGCCAGAAGTACTGATGGCCAGTAATGGCTGATTGAAAAAAAAAAAAAAAACACACACACGCTGGGTGGTTGGGAACTATAACCCCTTCCCTCAGCAGTGGTGCTCAGTGGTTAGCTAGCAGGTGTCCCTTTGTTCCCTGGTGGTCTGTTGGGCTTCACTGTAATGGAAAAAAAATCCAGCACTTAGCAGTCCCTACCTGTATTACATTTACAGAGATGCACTAAGTATTTTTGTTTGTTTTTTTTTCTTTTCTGCAGAGTAAAGAAATGGGTTTGTTTTATTGCCCCCTCCACAGCAGCATATACTCATCTTCTCCACTTCTGCTCTGGCCAGCCACTGGTAGCAAGGGCAGAAGGACATGTGCAGATTCTAAGTCTCTGTTAGAATTTGCACATGCTGGATGCCTTAGTTTTCATTTTTCACGCTATGAACAAGTTAACATAAAAACATTGCTCTCTTCTGTGAACTACTGATACCCTCATCATCATGTATTATTGATGAACAAAGGTAGACATGTTTAAAGTATATCCTGTGTGAGAACTATGGCTTTCCCATAGCTAAAGGGTTAAGAAATGTTAGTCACAGGATTACCAGGTGAAAAGAAAACTAATGCAGACACTTCATCCAAGGACTGGAAGGCTGAAATATATAAAATGTTGTTTTTGGGTTTAAATACACATTTAAACAAAGTTGTTTTATACTGCATGGATAGAAATATGAGGGCAGCATTGCTGCCTTGTTTTTGAAGATGTTGGATGTTATCCTTATTCTTGATATCCAGAAGGATATTTGCAGATCTGGTGCTCTGGTGATTTAGTGGCTTGCATGCTTTTATCTGGCCCTTGGGACACATTTTCATTCACCCACCAACAACGGGGTATAATTCCCCTCACTGGCACCAATGAAGGGGCACAATTCCTCCCAATGATGCCAACAATAGGGCACAATTCCTTCCACTGATACCAAAGATGGGGCATTGGACCTTTTCTAATCCTAATGGCTACAGTCTGGCCCCCCTAAAGGACTGGTAAACTGTCCGTTTTATTTAGAAGCTTTGGAGACCTCTGCTTTAAACGAATGTAAACTGGTATATACGCTGGTGTCCACACCAACCCAACACTTATCAGATTTTAGGCAGTGCAGTATGTAATTGAGCTTGTAAATAGCTTCTGTTGTAAAATAGGTCCAAGTCTTCCATCGGTCCACCTGCATTTATTATGTCTAATGCTAGGATTAATGGATGAATTAGGAGGGTTTGTACCAGACTCCTGTCCACGTGTACAGTACTCAGTTCTCCATCACGTGTGGCAAGAAGCCTTAATTTATTCCTCGTGGCTTTGTACACCACAGTGTGCTAATTACCTGGAGAGAGTGGAACACCCTAATCTATTTTTAATTCTCTTTCTGTCCAAGAATGAAGGTGTTTGGTGTGTCCAACTACCTATCCATCCCAAGGGAACACAAATTGTTCTAACTTGCTCTTGCCATGCTATGAAACCTAATCATAAATCCGTCATCTAGTTCTCAGGATTGTTTGGAGTGTTAGCTTCTAACAAGCACTAATACTTTATAGTGAATAGGATTGTGTGCTCATAGGGGCTTGCTGTCAGCTTTATAAACACACTGTCAGCTGCACCTTCACCTGTACTGTACATACAATGCTCAGCCTCTTAAAACTCATAACTGACATACTATGTAGAAAATATTATGTGTTTTATGGTATAGGTAGTTTTGTAAATTAAAAAAAAAGGAATGTAAATTTTTTTTTTTTTTTTTAAATAACTTTCTTCATGGTGAATTTGTTCTAGTTTTACAAAATATATAAAGCTGTACTCCAGGCAAGGAATTTAATTTTTTTAAAAATAACTTTCTTCATGGTAAATTTATTCTAGTTTCACAAAATATATAAAGCTGTACTCCAGGCAAACAGCTGAAATGCACAGTTGGTTTTTACAACAGACCAGTGTGAAAGTAGCTTTACTACATGTGATCTGCTACACCTGTGAAATTTAGAATTCCATCCAGCCAGTTCTGCAATTTACCTAGCCCTGCCGGACATCAAAGCCAGGCTGGTGGCCTGATTTTTTTTTTTTTCTGCTGTAGTTAGGTAATACAACTTTGTCATCTCCCTGTCCCCAACCTGTTGGTTGGATCCTGGATGAGAATCAGCATACTAAGGAGCTCATCTCTGCGCTTAAGCCAGCCATACAGAATTATTTTTACTCCATCCTCCAACCTCCTCCATCCACTCAAATAAGGTGGATGGAGGAATTACCCCCCCCACACTTTCTTCTAGGACATTGTATTCTGACCGTGGCACCTGCTATCAGTGGCTGCCGCTGCTGATCAATGGAGAATGTTTCCATTATGTCCGTTTAGCAGAAGTCGAACAGTTTTCTGCTGAGTGGGACAGCACACACACACTGATCAAAATCCTGTCAGTGTATGGCCAGCTTTACTCTGCTGTGTTCTCCTGTGATCACGTTCCTTGTCATCACTTGTACACTGCAGCACACCTGATTTATTGAATACAGAACTGCATTATTGATTGTTTTAATTCCCAGAGTCTGGAGTTCAGCTTCCAAATTTCATATATTTTGAACAAATCTTCAAAAACATAGCTGTCATTTTCTACCATATTTTGCCTAACATGGCAGATCAGTAGGCTACATGTAGGTTAGCCACCATTCTGGGAATATTTAATGCTTGCCTTACCTCTTTCCTATTACAAACACTGATGTTGACAATTTTTATCAGACAGGTAAAGCAAATACTGCCAGATAGCAACTTAAGGCTAGCCATAGATGACGCAATTTTCTTGCAACCACGAATCCCTCCCGTGGAGCTATTGTGTTCTCCCGGGTGGGGAGCTGACCCAGCTGGGGAGCACAGTGATTACTGCTAGCGACTATGATAGCTGCTAGCAATAATCGCATGTAACATCCGGCAGGCTGGTTGTACCCAAGTTGATTGTTCATTTAATTCAATCTTGCCGGTCCTTGCTTAACTGGCCGAGATTTGAATTGTCCATGGCCGGCCTAAAGCTGGCCATGGACAATAAGATTTCTCTAGTTCAGTCAAATAGAGTGGATGGACAAATCTGTGGTGCCAGTTATTTTATTATGACTGCTGGTACCTATGGCTATCAGAATACCCCAACAGTGTCTACATCTGATTGAATGCAAGCTCTGTTCAGGTGAGGACTTTCCACTTGGCTCCTTTGACAGAAGTTAATTGAAATATCGACTTTTGTCAGGATTAGTGTTGTGGACGGGTTTACCTGCTAAACAAATGGACCCTGTGAAAGTTGCTGAAA